ATGGATTATAGATCTACTATGAAAGACAAAAATTATAAAACTTTAGAAAGATACTATAGGGGAATATCTTCATGACCACAAGGTATGGAAAATATTCTACACAAGGCACAAAACAACAACCACACAGCAAATGGTTGATATATTCGATACCAATAAATTAAGGATTGTTCACCAAAACACATCATAGAGTGAAAAGAGAAGCCACAGAATGGGACAAAATATCTGTAACACATATAACCAACAAAGGACTTGTATCAAGAAAGTATTTTCAACTTCTAAAATCAATGAGAAAAAAATCCCCAAAGAAAAGCTGACACTTCGTGAAAGAATTTAACCCAACAGCTAATAAATAGGGAAATGTATATTAAAACCACAGTGAGAAACCATTAGTCACACATAAGATTGGCAAAAATTTAAAAGTCTGATAACACCAAGGGTGTAGAGCAATGAAAACAATATTCTGCTAGCAGTAGTATAATGTCACACAACTACCTTGGAAACCTATTTGGCTTGACTCAGTAACATTGAATATAGAGATGTCCTATGACAGAGCATTCCTAACCCAGAACTCATGAAGTCATACACACAAAGAACACATGAACATATATACCAAGGGACAAGAATATTCATAGCAGCACTGTTCTACATAGATCAAAATGGGAAACACCTCAAATACCTTGTAAGAGTAGACTAACTAAAGTGTAGTATATTTATGAATAGAATACTCTAGTTATAAAAGTTAACAAACTAGAACCACATGCAACACATGGAGAATCTTACAAAAGTAATATAAAGTATAGAAAAAAGGTGGTGGCAGCGCACAAGTGTATATGTGCTATAGGGAGACAGATGGGAGCAGGAACCAGATAGGAGGCTACTACAATAATCCTGGTGAGAACCAGTGGCAGCTGGACTTAGTGGTAGTATCACATATGAGGTAAGTGGAGAGATGTAGGGTGTCTTTTGAAGTTAGAATCTATAGAGTTTGGGTATTAGGTGTGAGAGAAAGAACAAAATCAAAGCTGATGACCCCTAGGTTTTTTACCAAATCAACTAGATGAATGGTGGATACCATTTAAATGAAAACAACTGGGCTAGGGGAAGGGGGGCAGACATAGGTTTGAAGAGGAAAAAGGAATAAATATGCTTTTATGCTACCACCTTATATTTGTTCACACTAAGTACTATCAGCTCAACTGTGCTATGTTCCCCAAAACGAATGCCTTGAAGCCCTACCTCCCAGTGTGCTGGTGTTTGGTGCTGGGTCTTTGGGAGATGATCAGGTTCAGACAAGGGCACGAGGGTGGGGCCCTCATGATGGGATCAGAGACACCAGAGAGCTTGCTCGCTTTGTCTGCCTCATGTAAGGACAGGGAGGGTGGCCGTCTGTGAGCCACGAAGAGAATTATCAGAACCTGACCAAGCTGGCGCCCTGAGCTTGGACTCTACACTCCCATAACTGGGGGAAAATTGTTTTCTGTTCTTCAAGCCACCCAGTCTGTGGTATTTTGTTATGGCAGCCTGAGCACACTAAGACAGGGACACACACTGTCCATGACAGGCCTTCTAAAACTGTGCCTCAGTTCCTTTTCTTTGACCAAACTCCATGCTAGTTACACCCTAGAAAACTGTTGTCACTGTAAATAAGGAGACAGGCACTAGGATTCCCGTGGAGCATAGTATGTATATAGCAGAATCTGGGAGCCAACCTAAAATTCCACTAAGAGAATGGAACAACAAAATTATAGCATGTTCAGATAAATTATGGCATATACATAGTATGGAACAGTTTCACCATTTATAACTAATGGACTAAATGAACTGGAACTATATATATGTAACGGATCAATCTGAGAAACATAATGAATAAAAAATGGCAAGTTGTAGAATATTACAGAGTGTGATATTTATCTGAGGCTTGACAATATGTAAAATATTACTCTACATTTGTAGTAATAATATTAAAACATGCATGTAGAAGGGAGTGTGGAATCATGTGAAGTGTAGAGTTGGTTTTGAATATATCAGTTTTGGGGAAGGAATTATTCTCTAAAAAGCAACAGAAGCAAATAAGGAAAAATTTTAAGATTTCATAAAGCTCGGTGAACCTTCACACTTTTCTGACAGTTCAAGGTTTGACAATTTATGTATCAATAAAAATACTTTCTTGAGTGGGGGAATACTCACATTCTCGAAAATGACTGAATTTGGTCATTACTTCATTCTTGAACAGCTGAAGGACCTGTTTGACAATGTATTTCGACTTGGGCCCAAGACATGCAGATATTTCTCCAGAAGAGGTACATTTTTCAGATTCCAGATGAAGTTCTCCCGATGGAGACTACTTAACTTTGGGTGATGGAATTTCTAAATCAAAAGTGAGAAACATAGGCTCGGCATTAGAGCAACTCCTGCTCGAGCAAAGCGAGGCCCAAGGGCAGGCGGTGCTGGGAACTGCCAGGCTGAGGGCTGTCGACCTGTTCCACGCGTGTTGATCCACCAAATGCTGGTAATGTCGTGCCTGCACAGGATCTCAGTTATGACAGCACCCACTTGTCCTGAAACAGCGAAGGGATAGGTAATACCGAGCAACAAAAGGAACTGGAGGCGGATCTGAAGAACCCTGCTCTGTCCCACACAGCTTGCCATGTGCTTCTTGTGCCTCTCTGGCTTCTTCTACTACTTTCCTCCCTGTCCTCCAGCCACAATGGGTGCCCTGCTGTTCCAGGACATGCCAGGGACATTTACAGCTTACAGCCTTCACACTGCTCTTTCCTTCTCCCTGGACCCTCTTCTCCATATATCCATATGGCTAGCATCCTCTTTCCTACCAGGTACACAAAAGTCACCTTTTGTGGTCAGACTCCACAGCCACCTAACCTAAAATCTCAGCCCTCTATCCAATACTTCATAGCCCTCTTCCCTGCCTGTTTCTTCCTTAGCACCTGGCACACGTTGCTAACATACACCGTGATTCACTTCTAACCTTCGTGTCTACTCTCACTAGACGGTAAGCCTCACTATGGGAAGGAGCTTGTTTTGGTCTGTTTTGTTCAGTGTGATCTGTGTCCCCATGCCTAGAACAGTGGCTGACATATAGAAGGCCCTGCTCAAGCAGTATGTGCTGAATAAAAGAATGCTCATAGGGTCGAAAATTCTAGAGTAGTGTTGGACCACTCTAAAGTTCTAAATGGCTTTGAGCCACATTACCCAAATGGGGAAACTGAAGTTGAGATGGATAATTAGTCATGACTATGGGGCAATATTCTGCTAGCAGTAGTATAATGTCACACAGCTACCTTGGAAACCTGTTTGGCATGACTCAGTAACGTTTAATATAGAGATGTCCTATGACCGAGCAGTCCTAACCCAGAACTCATGAAGTCATACACACAAAGAACACATGAACATATATGCCAAGGGACAAGAATATTCATAGCAGCACTGTTCTACATAGATCAAAATGGGAAACACCTCAAATACCTTGTGAGAGTAGAATAACTAAAGTGTAGTATATTTATGAATAGAATACTCTAGTGATAAAAGTTAACAAACTAGAACCACAAGCAACACATGGAGAATCTTACAAAAGTAATATTAAGTATAGAAAAAAGGTGGTAGCAGCCCACAAGTGTATATGTACTATAGGGAGACAGATGGGAGCAGGAACCAGATAGGAGGCTACTGCAATAATCCTGGTGAGAACCGGTGGCAGCTGGACTTAGTGGTAGTATCACATATGGGGAAAGTGGAGAGATGTAGGGTGTCTTTTGAAGTTAGAATCTATAGAGTTTGGGTATTAGGTGTGAGAGAAAGAACAAAATTAAAGCTGATGACTCCTAGGTTTTTTACCAAATCAACTAGATGAATGGTGTATACCATTTAAATGAAAACAACTGGGCTAGGGGAAGGGGGGCAGACATAGGTTTGAAGAGGAAAAAGAAATAAATATGCTTTTATGCTACCACCTTATATTTGTTCACACTAAGTACTATGGGCTCAACTGTGCTATGTTCCCCAAAACGCATGCCTTGAAGCCCTACCTCCCAGTGTGCTGGTGTTTGGAGCTGGGTCTTTGGGAGATGATCAGGTTCAGACAAGAGCACGAGGGTGGGGCCCTCATGATGGGATCAGAGACACCAGAGAGCTTGCTCGCTCTGTCTGCCTCAAGTAAGGACAGGGAGGGTGGCCATCTGTGAGCCAGGAAGAGAATTACCAGAACCTGACCAAGCTGGCGCCCTGAGCTTGGACTCTACACTCCCATAACTGGGGGAAAATTATTTTCTGTTGTTCAAGCCACCCAGTCTGTGGTATTTTGTTATGGCAGCCAGAGCACACTAAGACAGGGACACGCACTGTCCATGACAGGCCTTCTAAAACTGTGCCTCAGTTCCTTTTCTTTGACCAAACTCCATGCTAGTTACACCCTAGAAAACTGTTGTCACTGTAAATAAGGAGACAGGCACTAGGATTCCCGTGGAGCATAGTATGTATATAGCAGAATCTGGGAGCCAACCTAAAATTCCACTAAGAGAATGGAACAACAAAATTATAGTATGTTCAGATAAATTATGGCATATACATAGTATGGAACACTTTCAGCATTTGGAACTAATGAACTAAATGAACTGGAGCTATATATATGTAATGGATCAATCTGAGAAACATAATGAATAAGAAATGGCAAGTTGTAGAATATTACAGAGTTTGATATTTATCTGAGGCTTGACAATATGTAAAATATTACTCTACATTTGTAGTAATAATATTAAAACATGCATGTAGAAGGGAGTGTGGAATCGTGTGAACTGTAGACTTGGTTTTGAATATATCAATTTTAGGGAAGGTAAAAGTATTATTCTCTAAAAAGCAACAGGAGAAAATAAGGCAAAATTTTAAGATTTTATAAAGCTCAGTGAAACTTCACACTTTTCTGACAGTTCAAGGTTTGACAATTTATGTATCAATAAAAATACTTTCTTGAGTGGGGGAATACTCACATTCTCGAAAATGACTGAATTTGGTCATTACTTCATTCTTGAACAGCTGAAGGACCTGTTTGACAATCTCTTGATTTCGACTTGGGCCCAAGACATGCAGACATTTCTCCAGAAGAGGTACGTTTTTCAGATTCCAGATGAAGTTCTCCCGATGGAGACTACTTAACTTTGGGTGATGGAATTTCTAAATCAAAAGTGAGAAACATAGGCTCGCCATTAGAGCAACTCCTGCTGGAGCAAAGCGAGGCCCAAGGGCAGGGGGTGCTGGGAACTGCCAGGCTGAGGGCCGTCGACCTGCTCCTCGCAGGTCGATCCACCAAATGCTGGTAGCATCGTGCCTGCACAGGATCTCAGTTTTGAGAGCACCCACTTGTCCTGAAACTGCGAGGGGACAGGTAATACCGAGCAACAAAAGGAACTGGAGGCGGATCTGAAGAACCCCGCTCTCTCCCACACAGCTTGCCCTGTGCTTCCTGTGCCTCTCCGGCTTCTTCTACTACTTTCCTCCCTGCCCTCCAGCCACAATGGGCGCCCTGCTGTTCCAGGACATGCCAGGCACCTTTACAGCTCACAGCCTTCACCCTGCTCTTTCCCTCTCACTGGACCCTCTTCTCCAGATATCCACATGGCTAGCACCCTCATTCCTATCAGGTCCACAAAAGTCACCTTCTGTAGTCAGACTCCCCAGCCACCCCACCTAAACTCTCAGCCCTCCCTCCAATACTTCATAGCCCTCTCCCCTGACTGTTTCTTCCTTAGCACCTGGCACACATCACTGTCTAACATGTGATTCACTTCTAACCTTCCTGTCTATCCTCACTAGAAGGTAAACCTCACTAGGGGCAGGGGCTTGTTTTGGTCTGTTTTGTTCAGTGTAATCTGTGTCCCCATGCCTAGAACAGTGGCTGACATGGAGAAGGCCTTGCTCAAGCAGTATGTGCTGAATAAATGAATGTTCATAGGGTCAAAAATAGACTTTGACCACTCTAAAGTTCTAAATGGCCTTGAGCCGTGTTACACGAATGGGGAAACTTAAGTTGAGATGGATAATTAGTTGTGACTATGGGGCTAAGGGAGGACCTGGGTCTCCTGACATACAGCCCAGACCCTCACAGAGTGAGTGCTAGAAGCTTCCTGGTGGTCAACACGCAGAGTAACTCAGATTTGTTGGAATCTCAAGTAAGAAATGCATTTTACATCGCGACCAGTGTACAGACAGCCCACCACACAGAGGAAAAGTAAACCACACAGAGACCCTTATATATGATGTGTTCTAGGGCCTTGTGTTCTATTATATTCATGTAAGAGTGTTCCTCTAAATTGATTTTAACACCCACTCGCATGACCTGGAGACTGGAAACCTTTCCCTGCGGCTTCTGCTATCATGACCATGTCCTTGTTAGGTGGCTGTGTAAACCTCTGCTCGAATACTTCCTGGAGGAGGTGCAATTTACTGACATGGCCCTGTGTCCTTCCTTGTGCTGAGCTAAAACCTGCCTCTGCGACATTACTCATGCCACTGCTTCCAACTGTGGCAGCCAGGGCCATCTGGGACAGGATCAGTCCTTCCCCCACATGACTGTCCCCCACATACCTGAGGACGCCACTCTGGCCCCCCAGAGACTTCTCTTCTGCACAGTGAGCCTTTCTAGGTCCTTCAATTTTGCTCTCATGACACAGCTTTCAGTTTTCTGACCATCTTGTGTATTAAATATCACTACAAATCACAAAAACACTGTGTATAGTAGGCACTGAGAACACTGCCAGGTGTGTAGCTTTTGGAGAGCAGTATTAGAAGTAAGAATGGAGATGATGGAGAAAAAATACTCATTTTATACCATTCAGTACCATTTGAAATTTTTACCATGAACATGTATTACTTTTATTTTTAAAGAAAGTAAAATAGAACACTACTGTTGGGTTTCCAACATCTCAAGAGTCCATCCAGGGAAGGCTATCAGTCACCTTTTACAATGTGGCACTGCTGGCCCATGCATCCTGCAGGAGACCTTCTCAGCTCTGTGTGGAGAACTGACAAGAACACTTGGAACTTACTTGGCTTCAACTGGCTCCGCCACTTGGTATCGCAGAGCTCATCTCCCTTAACAGTACAGGCTGAGCATCAATACCAATGTCATAGTCATCTGTTGATAAACTAAGACATGAAATAAAGACCTCATACATAATAGGTGTTCAATAAATGTTTGTTGAATGTGAATGTTGCAGCTAACATGCCTGACTTCTCTGGCCCTTCTACCCTTTTGAATCCTTGGATAACAACTCGAGTTTCTGGTGGCTTGAGTCCTGCTCTTTACTAATCTATCGTAAGCCTGCCTCGTAGCAGCTTACTCCCTCTACCTCTCACCCTGACGCCCATCTCCCAAGCACTTTGTTTCCTGTATTACAAAGCTCTGACAAGTCCTACTCATAAAGCTGCCCTGTATTTTCTTCTCTTATACTTAAATGAATATCATGAAATTGACCTCCAGCCCATCTGTGGGCCAAGCAGCAACCAAATTCTGGTCCATATCAGTTGGTCCTTCACTTGGGAATGACTCAGTCCTGGTCCCTGCCATCCCCAGGTCTCCTGTGTACTGTGGGTCCCCCAGGACTCCCCAGCTGCTGGAAGCTTCAACAGCGCAGCCACATCCCCAGCAGAGCAGTCACAGCTTCTGCCATGCCCCCAGGATTAAAATACTGCACCTCTGTGGTATCTTGAGTGAACGCCATGATTCCTGGTGCATATAGAGAAACTAAGAACTTACCATCTGCAAAGGCATGGGGTGCGGTTAGTGGGGGGGTGGAGCAATGGGGATGAAGCACCATAAAAATGTACTGCAATGGCAAGGGAGGAAGGTTTTTCCTGTTCCCTCTAGGACTCCCCAGTCCCCTGCGAGACAAAACTAGATGCACAGCAGAGCAGCAGGTGGTCAACTACACAGCAGAACTCAGTGTCAGCAACGCGTGGCACCTCTGAGAACTGTATTTGCCATTTCAGAATGAAGAAGTAAAAGCTGAAACTTCAGTGGCAAAAGGCATATTAGTGAGAGCCACAGGCCATGCAGAAAGGTTAGTATAAAGACTGTTCTGTAACAGACACTCATTTAAACAGCTCGTTTCATTCAGAGGATGGTAGAAGATTTTGCTGAGTGCTCCAATCAGTTCAAAAATTTTTCTAAGTAAACTAAGTAAAATTAATAAGTGAATAAAATTTCCTAGAAATACATTTAATTAGAAGAGGCTATTTTAATCCAAATTATATACTCAGAAATTTTTGTTTTAGTGGGTGTCCACAGATGGATTTTCTCCAATTTAGTTGAAAACTATTGCAACCAAATGCTTAATACATTTAACATCCTAAGCCATTCATGGCTGAGTAAATATGTGTTAAATAAATAAACAGAGAATGTGAAATGGTGATTATTGTCGACATAGAAAAAATCTGTCAGTTGACAAACATTTACTGAGCACCTACTATGCTCCAGGGGCTGTGGGATAATGTGGTCTTGGACTCAGAGTTTAGTGACTGTCATTTCTGGGTGATAGGATTACTGGTAATTTTTAATTCTTTTCATATTTGTATCTCATTTTCTCTAATGAGTCACTAAAAGAGTTTCTAATCAGAAAAACAGGGTTATTTCTATTTGGGAATAAAAACATAATAAATACTGCTTTAGCCTGTAATATGGACTTGTTTCTGGCAAAGAAGGAGTAACAGGGACCGGGTTTACCCCTCTGTCTGAAATAACCAAAACACGGGACAAAATATCTGAAACATGGTTTTTAAGTTTTTTAGACACCAGAAAATGAAGGACAGCTCCCTGGGAGAAGGTGAGTTTGTCCCCGCTTCCTCCCGTGCTGGAGGCCATGGTGCAGGGAGCCTGGGAACTGCACTGAGGAGGCAGAGCATCCAGGGAGACCAAACAGCTGGAGTCCGCAGGGCGCATTCCAGAAAACAAAGAGCTGCAGAGAGAGAGAAGGTCAGAGGTCTGCAGAATGGACCCCTTGAGGACTTGGCAGGTCAGTGTATGAATGTGAGGAAGCTGCTGAAGTGGGATGGGAACTATCAGGAGGACTCACTGGGAGCGGCGCTTGGACACACAGGGGGCCGGGAGCGGTGCCTGCTGCTGCCGACCAGGCAGGGGAAACCCATGGTCCGCAGACACTGGGCAGAGAACTCAGGAGGGCCTTGCATTGGTGTTGGGGAGTAACCATCCCTAGACTAAAGCCAGCCCTGGTCCCACCTATGAAGTACTAAAGGCAAGACACAGAAGCACCAAACTGCTTCCAAGTACCTTAGCTGCTCTACTCAGAGAGGCTCGATGAACCAAGCACAAGGCTACACTGACACGCATCATAAGCAAAATGCCCAAAAGTTGACATAGAGGGAAACTTAACAGCAGCCCCTCTCTTTCACACACACACACACACACATGTGCACACACAAGACACACTTCAGTTAGAACAGTGTGAGGGCCATGTCTTTGTCACAAACAGTGGAAGAGAAGAAAGCAGAGCAATGTCTTCAAACGCTAAAGGGAAAACACTGTTTACCTAGAAGTTTACACCCAATGATAATATCCTAAAAAAATGAAAGTAAAACATGGTCAGTATACCTCCATGATTTTTTGCATGTTCCTTCCCTTGGGTGGAATGCCCTCCCTCCATTCTTCTGCCTGGCTGATGTATTCCTAACTTTCAAGAACCAGCTCATAGGTTTATTGGTACATTTGTTTTTTATGAAGCCCTTCTTGAGTATTTACTATGTGTTTGACACTGCTAGACGCCAAGGATAAAAGATCAGTAGTTGGGACAGACCAATTTCTTAAGCTTACTGCTTCCTATGCAGCATATGTAACAAGAAGTACAAACATGCCTACGTAATTAAATGTCCTGTGAGGTACTCTGGTGCCCTAATGGAAGCTGAAGGCAGAGGCCCTTCCCCACAGGTGCAGAGTGGAGGGGCGAGGGGGTCCTCCTGCTTCCATCTGGACAGGAGGTCTGACCACTGTATAAGTGTCCCTCTACACGAGGTCCAGTCTCAGTCAAGGGTGAGCTCCAAAGACTTTAGTCCATTTTCCCCAAAACAGACAGGACGCAACTGACCAGGTCAGGGTTCTATAACTTTCAGGATCAAGACCAGCGTCTGCCAAGGGTAAGAGAGAGGAAAATGCCACACAAGTCCTCATGCTACCTATTCACCGGGGTCTTGCCTCTGACTGTGAACAACTCCCACACAGGTGCCTCCTTGCTGGGGATCCAGGTTCGGCTGGTCACGGGAAATGCCAAAGGCCACGGGCAAGATGGACACAGAGCTATGTGTGTCTCCAGGGACAGTCGAGGGGCAGCATGCCTGGTAGCAGCCCAGGGCACAGTAGCCACTGCTGCTGCCCTGTGATGGCAAGGGAGCTGGCCCAGGGGGGCTCACAGGGCCCCAGTCCTCCTGGGGCAGGTAGGCAGGTGGCTGTCCTCTCCACTCCATGTGCCCAGCTGACAGTACATCTGCTGGGAGGCCTGTGCCAAGGCCCTCTTCCTCCTCTAGGCCCAGTGATTGCCAGGGAACCCCTGTGTCATAAGTGAGCATCGCAACGGCCTCCTGGACACTGGACTCTGAGCCTTCTCGTGGGGTAACGACGTAGTCCTGGCTCTGACTCCAGCCAGCTCTGTGGGCCCCTGTCCAAGTCTGGAACAGAGCACAGATGGGAGGGGAAGGCTCAGGCTGCACCTTCAGGCCTCAGCCTGGGAGCAGCCTTGCATCCTCCTCCAAGAAGCCCTCCTGACCTCCACACACAGAGGCCAAGCAGCGTCGTCTGAGCTCAGAAAGTTCTGTCTTCCTCTCATAGGACAGCCAAGCCCCAGGTGGGAGACCTAGTTCCTTAAGGGCCCTCATCAGTCCCCCAGCATGGGGCCCTGTGCTCACAGCGCCTGAGCCAGGGAATGTTGGCGGGTGCCAGACAAACCAGACTGCTGCTCCTGACACCTTCAGCAGCTAGAGACAGGGCATCCTCACCCTACATGCACACACACACACACACACACACACACACACACACACACACACAGGGCTGCTGTGGGAACTGGCACCTTTGGGCTGAGGCCAGCAGACCCAGGACTCCTCCATGAGACAGCAGGACTCCCCTACCTCCAAAAGGAAGCCGTTCCCTTGGTGGGAAACAAATGCACCACACACTCCAGACCCCACATCACTGTCCTTTTCCTGGAGAGCTGACCCAAGGCCCCAGACCAGCACTTGAAGGGTCTAAATGACCCTGGGCCATGGTCTTGGTTCTACAGAAAAGGGTCTGAGGGCCTGTGAACCACGTGACACAGGCCAGGGGCAATCTAAGTCTTTGACCCCATCAGCCCTTGTCCACAGCTGCCTCAGGGGACACGCCCATCATCTTGGGGCATGAGGTGGGCCCCACCAACGACACCGCGGTCCCCTTTAAGCCCCCAAGCACACTCTGAGACAACAATCATGAAAAGTTGGCTGCCTACCAGGAGAGAAAAGGGCTAGGAGGCGGGAGGCGCTGCAAGGCCAGAGGGGAGAGCCTGGAAGAGACAGTTGGTGGACCCTGGGAAGCACCACCTCCTGTCCTTTGCCCACCTGGGAGGGTGGACACCACAGATCACCCTGTGGAGCTTCTCCCTGGCCCCTACTCCTGCCTAGGGGAGCAAGACCACCGAGCAAGCAGGGAGAGGAGGGTCTGCACGGAAGGTGCCATTTGACCCTCCAGGTTGTTCTCAGCTTGATTTGGCTTGTGGGAGCACCTGGCACCAGAAAGGGGGACATGCAGAGTCTGCTCATGGGCCGCGGTGCCAGTGTGCTCCCCAGAGACCCGGGAGGGGCCAGGCACTCCACAGCAACCATCTGAGCACTGCCCAGAGATCCGGGAGGGCCCTGTAAGAGCACAGAGACCCCCCATGGCCACAGACACAGACACCTTCAGGGAAGAAGAGGGTATGAGACAGCTGGTGGGTAAGGATGGCGCCCACGGTTCACACCTCACCTGGAAGGGGCTGATGTGAACTAGAAGAAACAACATCAGTAGCGAGCCTACATGTTTTTCCATCAATAACGGAATTAGAAACACAAGAACAAAAAATAAGCAACTGAGAAAAACATGTACTTTTTTGGCCCACTTGAGACGCTATGTAAATTTATATACACCAAAAAAGCTCAAAGCACTGACAAAGGCACCCCTGCCCACCCCAAGTCCTCACAGAAAGCCCACATCCTGGGTAGGGCAGATATCTGGGCAAGCCCGGCCGCGTCCCACCCCCACCTCCTGCAGCAGGCAGGGCACGCACCTGGAAGTTCCCATTGTGCACACTGTAGAGAGGCTGGAAGAAGGCCGCTGGAGAGGGCACATGCTGGTAAAAAGATTTCTTCACCCTGAGGCCAGTGGAGGACAGTCAGAGGCCTATGGCGACCCAGGGGGGCTCTTCCTGAAGCCCGAGTCCTGGGCGCATGAGGTCACTGCAGGGAACTTAGTTTCCTGCCAACTGGCAGGTGACTGACCCTGACTCATCCTTGCTGCTGCCATGCTCTCTCTTTCTATTGGGTCCAAACCTGCTCTCGAGGCAAGACCCGACACTGGGCACCCTGTGGCCTCCCTGGCTAATGACCCCATAGAACTGATCACTGGGAGTGATCAGGCATTTCCTCAGCCTGCGTAATGAGCCAGCACCTGCAGGAACCGCACCTGTGCCATTAGCAGACAGGTGGCAGCTCTCTGCCCCACCTGACCTCTCCCTGAGCACTGCATCTACTTGCCCAGAATTCAGTGGTCCTCCCACACGGATGCCACAGAAGGCTCCAGCCCAGTAGGTCCAAATCAACCTCACTGACCTCCCCTGGAGTGTGGCCCCTCCAGTTCCCCACCTTGGGGGTGACATCATGGGTCACCGATCATATCGGATCGGCCCACGTGTTCCCTCTGTTTTTTTTCCTAAGACCCTGGCATTTCCCTAGACTTTGCTCCATGTCTACTTCTCTCACCAACTCAAGCCAAATATCTTCTCTCCGGATCCCAGCACTGGCTCCCTCGCAGGTTCTCCCCAACCCCTTGTACCCCAAACATCGATTCTAAAAACATAAACCATATCACGTCACACACGATCTAACACACCTCACGCACTTCCTTTGCTCTGAGGATGAGCCTGGCGCCCTCCTCAGCTTTCTCACCAACCCCACCAGGCCCGGCCCAGCACCTCTCTCCCCAACCCAACCTTGCTCTCTCTATCTGACCTCCTCTCTCCTTCTCTGCTCCCTGTCCACACCTGGCCAGTATCCTCTGTCACCCGGTCTTTGATGAGGCCTCTTGTACCCTGATGTGTGTGATGGCTTATTTCAGGAGGGCCCTGGTGTCTGTCTTAGTCTATGACATCCACCAAATGAGCAAATCACCAAGTAACCTCCAGAGGCAGGAGCCGAGGACCTCGGGTCACTTGATCCTGGTGACTCTGAGTCCCTGCACAGCTCTTTGGGGCCACAGACAGCCCCAACACCTGGCAAGTTGGGAACTCCCCTCTGTCCAGGGCAGAGGCCTAAAAATCCCACGACATCCAGGACCACGTGGTGGGGAGGAGCACAGGGAAAGGGGTTGCTGGTTTGGCCCTCGATGCCCCACCTGACTCACACCCACACAGGCACACACACTCAAAAGGACCCACAAATTCTCACGTACACACATTCAAAAACACATGCACACACATGCACACACTCAAACACACACCCCTTGGCTACCAACCTGGGTGACAGCTTGAACAGGACAAAGGCCAAACTGGTCAGCAGGAAAAAGATGAAGACAGGAACAAGAGTGCCGTGGGGCTTCCCCAAAGCAGGGGTCAGGCGGCCTGTGAGCAGGAAAGGTCCGGGCAGTGAGTGCACTCAAGCTCTGGACGTTTCTCCACATCCATGTGCATGGCAGAAGCACCACTAGGAGTGCCCTGCGCCACAGAGGAGAGTTTGACATGGGCCTCAGAGGCTTGTGCCACCCCTGCTACAGCACACTGGGTAAATCACACACCCCTGTGCCTCACACGCCCGTATGCATGGTCATCAGGCTCAGCGAGCACTCCTAGCACCTCTGGGCCATATCCAGGCTCTAGAAACAAAAGCCCCAGGCCTAGTGTGCAGCCATTGCCCACACCCACTCCCAATGATCCCCACTAACTAGGGGTTCCTGGGAAGCCCACTGCTCAGCAGGAGTTTGTTTCCTCCTTACACATGTCACATCTCCAGGGGAGAGTAGTCAACTAGGGCATGACTGCTGCAGGGCGGGGATCCAGGAGAGTGAACAGGTGGGAGTGTGGGATGAACAGGGGAAGGAGGCCACACCCAGACTCTGGCAGGGCAGCAACCACCTCTTATCCGGGGAGAGCGGAAGCTCACGGCCTGGCTCCACTCACTCCACAGGCCCTCAAAGCGCTCCTCCTCTGCCACTTCATCCTCCGGTGTGGCCATCTGGACACGCAGCCTGGCCTCATAGCTGGAGCCAGGGTCCAGCTCAACAGCTTCCAGGATGAGCCAGGTCACCCCAAAAATGCGATCCTTGTACCATGCCTGCTGTGGGGTTAAGGAAGGTTAGCAGTTGCTAAAGGTGAGACTGGGCCCACTGGCCCTCGAGAACATATGCACATGCACATTCACAAATGCACAAACATGTGCACACACCAATGCACATACACACACATAAATTCACACACACAAATGCACATACACATGTGTTGCACATAATTAAATGCACACGCACACACACACACATACACACATAAATGCATTCACGTGTACACATATACGCACATACATACACATGCATAAACATAAACATGCACAACCACCACATGTGCACACACAACCATGTACTTTCACATGGACACACCTACATATATACGTGCACATGTCCACAGGCACATTTAATTCATTTAGCTGTATGCACACTTACACACATGCATACACGAACAAGGTCACCACACTCACTATACTCATACACTCAAACACATAGGATTGCCCTGTGAACACTCATACATATAAGCACACACAGGCACCCTTACATGATGACACACATGTACACACACACAAACACATATGTGCACAGCCACACTCATCAGGCTTGCACAGACCCACCTTGGCTCTGGTCGCCTACCCTCCTCCCAATCCTGAGCTGACACCCCCCATGTGGGATGAGGAGCGTCCCTGGGCTGCTGTCCCAGAGGCTCCTGGGGTAGCCAGCTCAAGTGTTACCTCCCAAGTCTCTTCCTGTTTCTTGAAGGCCAGTTCATAGCTGAGGAGTGAGGTCAGTGGCTCCAAGGCAGGACTGATGCTCCAGGTCAGGGCACAGTTGCCAGAGCTGACATTGCTATTCAAGTCCAAAGGAGGGTCCAGCTTCACTGAAACAGAATGAGGCCATATGAGGGTGTGTCAGTCAGCACACCCCCGACTGGAGATCTGAAAGATTCCAGTGGGACCTCTCAAACCAGGGGCCTCACCAGGAAACAGGTCCAGAGAACCCCAGGTGGGACAGGATGTCAATGACTTCCTCCAGCCCCTGCACCCATACAAGGTAATTTCAAACTCTTGCCTTCCCCTTCCCTTCATGAGCTGCTCCTGGAAGCACCTCCCAGGGTCTCACTATAGTCCTTCCTGCTATGACTGAAGTAGATTTCAAGTAACTTAAGTTGTAACCTGTGCCCCAGCTCAAAGCCCTGCGTCTCATCCTCCTCTAAAACCCCACCCTCCAGTAACCAGGGGGCCTGCCCTCCCAGGGGCCCAGCCTGCTCCTAGCCCTGGCTCTCTCTTAGCAGGGCTGAGAGACCTCATGGGCCATGGGGGTTATGAGCTGCAGGGCCCTGCCCCAACCTCCAAGGCAGCCAGATGCCTCCTGGGCAGGGTGCCCCACTGCGGGCCTCACCATGTCTCCGGGGCAGGTACTGTGAGTCCACCAGGCTGACCTGCTCCTCCCCAGACACGTCATGGTGCAAAGTGATGGAGAAGCTGTCAGAAGGCACCAGCACCTCCTCAGGGGGAAGCAGCACACTGCACACGCTGGCTTGGAAGACACACCTGTGCTTGCTGCCCGGCCCGTGCTTGCTGGAAAGGGCATGTGTTGGCCAAGGGACTGTTGCGCCAGCCGGTCCCCTGCTGCTGTTATCATGGGGACCCTATCTTCGACCCTGCCCCCTGCCCCCTTCTCAGGTGGGCCTGGCCCTCCAGCCTCACCTGGTGAAGAGGAGCCATGACCTGGCCCCCCGGCTTGGCTCTGGGGCAGACCAGTGGCAGTCAATCCTCAGGATGTTGTTGTTGAGGCAGGTGACAGTCCCAGCACCTGGCCCTGGGGAAAGTGACACAGTAGCTGCTCCAGGGTGGGAATGGGTGACGGCGAGGCTCTGGCAGCTGACACCCTGACAGGCAGTCCCTAGGGATGGATCCATGAGAAATTCATCAAGGGCAAGTCTGGAGGCCTGGGTGGTGACAGGCTGGCTCTGATTCGTCATGCATGGGTGGGACTGAAGTCCAGACTGATTCCTGGATGACAAGTCCCAGCACAGTTTGGGACAAACCCTTCCCTGTGGAGTCTGACAGAGCACAGCCCTTCCCTGCCACACTTTCCACCCACCTACCTCTCTAGTGCCCTCACCTCCTCCTTCCCCTGGTGCAGAGGCCCCCAAGCCGACCCAGGTGCAGATGCAGGAGCAGATCAGCAGCCAGGTGCCCATGTCCCACATCAGGGCCTCGCTCTCCAAGGTCCGACCTGCAAGGGATTGAGCTGAGGGGTCCTGCATGGGAACCACCTTGGGAAGTTCTCCCCTTGGATGCTCCTGAGTGGTGCTCTGAGTGGGTCACCACCTACTCCCTCACAGGGTGCCTTTAATAAAGACCTATACCAGTGTTCTGCCCAGGAAGTCATAGGAGGACAGCAGTGAAGTATCCATGCAACAGAGGGTGCTTCCTAAACTCTGTCAGAGCACCCCTGTTCTGAGTTGCCCTGTGAAGGAGAGCACCCCAGAAGAGCTCCTCCTCCAACACTTTGTCTTCCAGTGTGGCCATCTGTCACCACCAGCAACAACTGGAACCGGGGTCCACCTAGACAGCTTGACAAGATGAGGCCGGGCACCCTGACAGTGCAATCCTTGTGCCAGGCCCACTGTGGGGTTAGGACAGTTAGCAGGTACTGAGAGTTAGACCAGGTTCATCAGCCCTTGGAACATATGCACGGTGCCAGAGGTCAGCTGGAGACAAGGGGCTGGGTATTAGGAAGTGTCTGGGTGTGGGGAGGCTGAGCACAACCTATCACCCCTTTTGCAGGTCCAGATGGTGCACTGATAGCTCCTAAGCAGGAAGCAGGGCCAGCCTGGTTATGCAAGCCTGATGGGTGATAAGGAGCCGAAACAGCAGCAGATGTGCACACAGACCACAGCACGTAAGCCCTGGAGGAGCCAACACACATTCACCAGGCAGCAGACACCACTCCAAACCCACCCCCACGCCCCTAGCAGCCTATGTGTGTGCTCACAGGACAGACCCCTATTAAGATCAATGATGGGGAAGACCTCACTGTTCCCTAGCATGGAGCATTGCCTGTCACTACCAGCAACAGCATGGGAGGCCATGGCGAGTTCACTCACCCTCCCGCAGCACCTACTGGATGGAGATCGGGGAGTAGCATGGTCACAGCTCACCCTCAGGGTGTGAGGACAGGGTCAGAGTGAGCGCCGAGACCTGAAGGGGGCTAAGCCATAGTAGTCCCTTCCCAGGGGATGGCCATTGCCCCGGCGGTTGGGGGAGCCCTGCATCTGTGCAGAGTCAGGCCAGGGCTCCTTGGCGCCTCACAGCTTCATGCCAATTACTGCACCAGCTTACTGTCCCTTTTACACAGTGTCCGTTTCACAATTTTTTAATGGGAAGAGATCCCATTATTTTCACCACCCACCCAAGAAGTTGGCAGACACACAGGTGAAGTGTTATGTAAATAGACACTTATCCACCACTGTCTTTTCTCTGATGGAAGAAGAGATTCAGCCTCTGGCTCCCCAGGAGCAGCTGGAAACTGGGCAACACAAGGACTGTGCTAGGATATTGGGCTATAAATGGAAGCGGGAACAGGATCCCCCTTCGGACCACAGACTCTGGCACCTGAGGAAGCCATTAGAAGTGCCGATGCTGTTGGGAAGAGACTGCTTGAGGTCACTGTGCTTCCTCAGGTGGCGCTGACAGCAGGTGGGAAGCCAGAGGGACCAAGGCAGGAAGACCAGCTGGGATGAGGAGAGAGGAGGCGCAGAGGCGGCTACGGAAGAGGCAAGTGGCACCGAGAAGCGTTTTCCACATGAATTCTGAGAGGGGTGAGCAGGAAGGACGGCTACATATGTGGGCAATGGCTAGAATGAGGGTGCTGACAGTGCTTTTGGGGGAGTCTACTCCTCCCGTACCTGCCGAATGGCATTCTCTGCTCACAATCCCCCTCACAGCCCCTCTGAAGCCAAGTCAGAAAGCTCATTGCTATGCCATCTCCCTACACCAGGCCCCGCTAGGGGAGACCGTCTGCTGTGTACCACCCCCACTGCACCCAGCCAAACAGGGTGAGGAATGCATCCTGAACCGCCCACAGGTGCTGCCCTTGCCTCTGGGAACCTGGGAGGGTGGCTCCTGGACACTGCTTGAGCACAAACTCTCTCCTCCCCTTCTTCTGCTTGGCTGAGTTGCCCGTCTTCTGGAATCCCACCAGCTGCTGCCCCTTCCACTGCTCCAGGGAGGGATTCTGACTCCTGGCTCCTCTTCTGCCCTAAGGTCCCCCAAAGGAATGGGGTCCTGAAAAGGGCTTGAACCCCAGGATCTGGACCTCATCTCCACTCGTGGCTGTCACAGCTGAGACCATCCAGTCACAGGACACTCACTCACACTCATCCCCACAAAGGTCGTGAGTCTCTCGCAAGATGAGACCGCCTGACACACAGTGCTCTTGCTGCTGCCCGGCAGCAGTCACGACCACCCCTGGCATGGACAGGAGAACCGCCATCCTTGTGGTCAGCATTGCAAACCTGCCTTCTCTCAGAGATGACTCACCTTTCCAGATGCATCGGCCAGATCCCACGGCAAGGCTGAGGGGCCCCAACCCTCCAGACCTGCAGGTGACTTGCCTCCGACCGTCCCTGCAAAGCCTCTCAGCCCGAGTCGGGAGATAACTGCAGCAACCAGTGATGCGAGCACAGGCCGCCCACATCTGAAACCACGAGCACGCAGCAGAGAAGCTGTCCCCAGTAGGGTTAGGAGGTGGTTGTCACCACTAATCACAAACCCAGGAATTATGAGGTGGAACAATCTTTCATTCCCCATGACACTCAAAATTGCCAAACATGAACTTTGGTGATTCCTCCATTGATTGGTGGATGAGTATCCACTGTATTCCTCCCCCAAAACACAACTGAGATGCATTTCATTAGCCCCAGAAAGCGAGGAAGACCTTGACCAGCATCGCAGATCTGCTTTCTCTGGGAGATGCCCAAGGCCAGGACACCAGAGGTCACTCTAAGGCAGTGCTCCCAAACCTAGACTTTCCCAGATTGTCCGGACTCCCAGGGCCCTTGTGGCTTCCAGGCTTTTCTGGAAGAGGTGCAGGTTCTCCTTCAACAGCTAAGGCAACCTGTGAGCATCGGGTTGGAGAGGGTGTTAAACAGAATGGTCATGCAGTCTGTTACAAAAATAAGAATACCAAAGGAAAAAATGGGACTCCCCTTTTATCTCACCACTGAAGTCACCCATATGCGAAGTTAGCACAAATCACTCCAACTTCTAAATTCACATTTTTAATGTCAATTTTCAACATCTTTCTAGGTCACCGCATAGCCAATGACTGAAATGGTAGCATGTGCCATGACTGAACAATCCCACAGATGCATTTAGATGGTTGCCTATAGATAATATCTTAGTTTTTTAATTGATATAATTGACATATAACATTAATTTTGGGTGTTGTGCTTTTTTAAATGAAGGTAATTAAAACCCTATGCATGGATATTTATTTACCATGTGTACTTCTGTACAGAAAATTGCTGGGGATGGAACTGTGGGGTCTAAGGCTCAGCATTTTAAAATATTGATAGATAGTCAAGTGGTCCTCCAAAAATATACCTTCTTCTACTCCCCCAGAACTGTGAGAATGCAGGCAACCCTCCCTAGCGGTACACATCAGCAATCTTTTTATTCTTTGGCAATCTGATAGGAAAACACATTGCAATGTTGTTTTTAATTGACACTTCCTTATTAGTGATGATAAGCATCTTTTCATATGCTTCTTGGCTGTATGTTCTTTGGGGTACCAAATAAGGTCACATTTCAGTGTGCATACTTTTATGTGTGAGTGTGCACCTGTGTTCTGTGCATTAATACATCCTGGGCATGGTGTGGACACCCCAGAGCTGCAGCTCTTTGGAGACTGAGAAAGCCAGGACCCACAGAAAGATGGAAGCAAGGGCTAAAGCCCACGAAAACACCTTAGGAATGACCAGAGACATAATCACACTTCTGTCTACTAGTTAAACTTCAAACAGCTTAGCCTAGGTCTTACCTATTACGACCACATACTTTTATACTCCCTGGAGCCATCCCTTTTCTAGCAACCTAATCAAGAGAGCTTCCTTCTCTTGGTCTGTCAGTGTCCCTCCCACCTTTTCGAAGCTAGAATTTACTAACCCAAGATAAGCAGACCACACAACCCACACCATGATTCCACAAGTAGAGAGAAAAAGGGGTGGAAAGGGAAGAAATCCTGGAACAAAAAACCCGCTTGACAGAATACTATACTAACTTACTATGAGAAATTTTCGATTTTCTCTGTAAGAAAATTGTGGAAGTCTGTTTGCTTGTGTTTTCCTACAGTTTGGCTCCTGCCCCACAAAGTCCAAAATATTTACTATCTGGCTTCTTACCAAAGCTTAGAAACCCCTGAAATAGAATATTATTATCTCCATTTACACATGAGGAAACGAAGGCAGAGGTTCAGAAATTTCACCAAGCTCTCATAGCTACGGTGCAGACCGGAGGCTGACTGCAGGGTGTGTGACCCTCACCCCCAATCCAAGCTGCCTCAGCAACAAAGGCAAATGGCAAGGTTGCCACCTAAGGAAATAAAACTAACGGCATAAGGAAAAGATTAGCTAAAGATAACACCCACCTGATAAAATCACATTTGTTAACACTGGAACTATTCTGAAATAAAACCAGTTATATATAATGGCTCAGGACCTGTTACAGCAATATGAAAACAATCATGTCAAACTTTAAAGATTAATCATTTCTGGGAAAGAAACCAAGTGCCTCCAAAAAGTAAAGATCTGTATCAAAAACACAAATTTAAGTCCTGTGGTTTCATTAGTGAAATTTCATTATTAATTAATTGGAAAACAAATTAATTCCAAGGCCGTGAGCAAGAAGTTCACCCACTGATAACCTAGACCCTAGCCCCACCTAGTCAAAGGTGTTCTTTTAGAGTGGAAAGATGAACAGAGAAAGTACAAAGTATGAAAACACAGTATCCTATAAATAGACTGTAATCCTATGAAACAGGGATAGAAATGATAAATCAAAATCTACCTTATCAGCAATTCTATCACCAGTTTGCTGTGAGTACAGGAGCTGATTCTGGAATGGTGATTTGCAGTTGGATGCCTACCTGAGGCATTCACCTGAGAACACAATATACGACTTCTCATTTTAATTAAATATTCAGAATAGATCTTGAATAAATAAGTTTGCAATAAACAGTTAAATACTTAGAGATTTCTAATGTACTGAATGAATAACTTTTCCTTTACTGGCTCTGCACACAATTTAAATATTCCAGAGTAATGGTAGATGGTGGGGGGATGTCCACTGCCCAAGGTGAGCAAGCAGGACCTTAAACGGAGCGCTTAGTTATGGATACTCCTCCCCCAACTCACAACCTCCCTGGACATTAATGAGCTCATCCACTGAGTAGTAGATGGGATACATTTCCCAACACCCTTGCTAGCTACACTAGGAGACCCTAAAAGGGTTAGCTTCCTGTCACACCAGGAAAACGACCCTCAGGACACAGAGAGCACACTAAAATATGGGGAATGAGATAGGAAGACAACGACATAGTTGGGCCAGCCTGGCCCTAGTCCCTCCAGCGGTGTCCACACTGAGCACTGCAGCACTTGTAGAAGGTGGTCATCGGCTCGTCTGCAGAGCGGGTCTGAAGCTGCATGAAGTATGCACGAGGATGCTCGCATTTGGGACATGGCTCTGGCAATGAGAAAAACAAACAAGTGACCCACATTATATAAAACTGATGCTTGTGGTCCACGCACACCTATTAGAAGTAAGTGTTACCTGAAAGGGGCAGACATAGACACACCCAGACACAGTGCTCATCTAGGGTGCTGTGCCCACAGTTTAAGGCTGACAGCAGGGGTATCACTGCCACTATGCTCACGCACCAAGAGAGAGCCAGGAGACTTGTGACCTTGGAACACTCCTCTTCCCCTTCCCAGGTTCCCCTTTTCTTCTCAAAACTGGTCAAAGACCATTCGAAAATAGAACACACAAGGTGAGTTATGGCTGTCCCATGCATTCTGGAATCCACACCATGCGTGACTTTAAGGTTTATGCCAATATTGTGTGTGTAACAAAAAAACTACTGAAAAAAAAATGTTTTCTATTTACAGAAGCCCACTTCATATACACCACACACTCTGATGTTGAGGGTGCACAGGGCACAGCCTCACACTTATCCACAGCTCAGGTTTTTCCTCACCCGCAGTAGAGTCAACATTCTCCCACGCAGCTGCTCCACCGAGCACATCGTCCACTTCTTTCAGCTTTGGGTATTTCCGATTTGTTACCTAACAGAGAACAGCAAGTCTTCAGACTCTCCAAGTAAGTGAACAGTACACACCTGGGTCACCAAACCATACCTGCCCTCAAGTGTCTCCCCAGTCTTCCTTCCTTCAACACAAACTGGACAGATAGTATATAAAAACCAAGTTTCTGCTCTGTGAGAGCTCCGCTAATTATGAAGATCCATGACTGGGATGACCCACAGAAAAGAGAGAGCCCCAAAAGTCAGAGAACGTCTCTGCAAGGACTGGATGATGCCCCAGAGCAGAAGAAAAAAATGGCTTAAGGGTGACACTTTTCTTCTCCCACGCCTCTGTAAACTTGGTAACCCAAGAATAGAGAAACAAACACAACCGAAGGTAAAGAGTACCACTTATCTGGGTAGCTACTCCCTAAAGTCTGACAGCTCTCAAAGCAAGTCACCTTTGGCTTCTTTCCCAAGTTTTAACAGACATCCTTGAACTTTCAGGGTTACATAAGAGTTCACTCTTCCCGGTTTCAGCCTCTAAACTCCCACCACTACATAGTGAAGGAGTACGCAAATATTAAGAATGAGCTAGCACCAATGTGCTCTACTTATAAAAGTAAAGGTGTACAAAGGAAAATAAGTTACGATCTACTGTGTACCATAGATACATCCAGTACATTCTAAGTTACGTCCTAGGTGTTCAGACTTGAACTAAGAGAAAACTACACAGAAAAAGGCCCTGCCCTCCCACAGCTTACGTCCTAGCTTCAGTAAACACAGCGCGTAAGTAAACACAAGTATACGGGAACACTGTGAGTTCAACAGGTAAAGAAAACAGGAAGAAGATGAGTTGGAGGAAGAGGTTGCCGTTTTAAACAGTGATTATTTCAGTAAACACGAGACCAAAGACTGACATGACGATCAGGGGGAGGGTGAACCGGGCAGAAAACGCATGCAAAGGTGCTGGCAGCGGTGCCACGCGCGCGGTGGCCGAGAAGCACGCGGACGCGGAGAAGCAGGCCTCGGGGAAGGGGGTCGCGGTCCGGTCCCGGCGGGCCCTGGAGCTTCGGCTTCCCCCTGCGCGCGGCGGGGCCGCCGAGAGCTTCCGGGCGCGGACGGGCCTCACCGGACTCGCGCGGGGGCCCGCCCACTCTGGACGCCGCGAACAGGGAGGGAGACGGACCGGGAGGCGGCAGGAACGCAGGACCAAACCGCACCTTGCGGGTGATATTGTGTACGTAGGGGCAGGTGTTGCAGGCGAAGCGGTGGCAGCGCTGCCCCTCCTCCACGATCAGCCCGTTCCCGCAGCCCGGGCAGAAGAGCAGCATCGCGCCGCCGGGATCTGCCGCGGACTCCCGGCAGCCCCTGCGGCCCTCCCAGCAGGCACTGCGGCAGGCGTCCCGCGGGTGCGCGTTCCGCCCCCGTCGCGCGGCGGCCAGCGAGGCGCCCTGGAGGAGCCCGAGGCCGAGGCCGCGGCGGGGCGCGGCGCGCCGGACGCCGAGGAAGACGAGGAGGAGGCGCTGCCGCACTCCGAGGCGGTGGACGTGTTCCAAGAGGGTCTCGCCATGGTCGTGCAGGACCCGCTGCTCTGCGACCTGCCGATCCAGGTGCGCGCGGGTAGGCGCCAGGGGCGGCCGGGCGGTGCAGACCAGGGGCCGCGGCCCAGAGGACCCGGGAAGGCTCCGGGGGCGGCCCAGGGTGGGTTTGGGGAGGCGCTCGCCTCGGGCGCGGGATTCAAAGGGGCGTGGAGCGTCCGGGAGCTTTTAATGCAACATCTTTAAAACTAAAAGTTGGTGTGAAAGCCTGTGGCAAAAAACGTAAAAGGTGTAGGTAAACAGAAGATAGGTATTCTTGGTTTTAACTTCCTCTAGCCTCGATATGGCTTGGTACGGTCTTGTCTTTAAATCCTTGTTTGGCTCGTCAAGGAGTCCTAAAATTAACCTTTTTTTTTTTTAAAGTTGTATAAAACGCCGACCGTTACCTGTTTTTTGCACTACTGTCTCAATGTTGTCCCCATGCCCTAGCCTGCGTCCAGGTGACCAGTGGCTGTCAGACTGGACTGTCAGGCCCAGTATACTTTCTCCCACCTGGCCCCAGGTCGGGCTGGAGGATCCGGGGGCTGATCCTCACGTGGTTCGTTCTCCTTGCCTACTCAAATGTTTCTCTTTCTCCAGAGCCTTTGTCCACTGTACACATCAAATAGAAAATGTGGGTGGAACATGAGATTGAGGTGCTTAAAAACTGGGAAACCCTGATGTATTAGCCCAAATTCCTTTCCTACTTCTTCATAATATATGGTACCACTTCTTGGACACTGTCAGCTTGTTTTTCTTTGTTGTTTGGGGTATTAGGAGGACGGGGACTCCTACATCAGATCTTGGTCTTTTCTAGGTGACCTTGGAAGAGGTCAATTCCCAAATAGCACTAGAATATGGCCAAGCGATGACAGTGCGAGTGTGCAAGATGGATGGAGAAGTAATGCGTAAGTCTGCCGTCCTTCCCTCAGGCTCTGCGTTCTGAGCTTCCACAGGGGCAGGATGTTAGCAAGGTGCTCAGTGGGAAACCCAAGGGCCGTGCCTGCCCAGACTCAAGTCTCAGTCACAAACAGAGCTCAGCATGAGGTTATGGCCGTGAGCTTCTAGCATGGATCCTCTCTCCTCTTTCCTACCGGTTGCAGCTGTGGTTGTAGTACAGAACGCCACGGTCCTGGACCTGAAGAAGGCCATCCAGAGGTTCGTGCAGCTCAGGCAGGAGCGAGAAGGGGGCATTCAGCACATCAGCTGGTAAGCGGAGCAGTGGCTCCTTGCTGCCCTTCCCGAGGGTGCGGGACTCCACATGAGCACCTGCTAGACATGTGATTTTCAGTGACTGGGCCCTGCTACAGGGTACTCCCTGGAGTAATTAGCTCCCTATCCTGAGCCCTTAACACAGGGTGGGTGTTACTGTGCCTGGGAGTCCTGCCTTAGCTGCTGTTCCATCTACATTACCCCTCCTAGGCACTGGGCATTTGCACTTGGGGATAGCATAGGGCATTTTCATGTGTCTGGAAGTGGTATCCCTAGTTACAGATGCTGCATCTGTAAACTCTCACTCCTGGCAGATCAAGTGTTGAGTTGGCTCTGTCTCGGTACTGCCACCTGTATCATGAGCAAGGGGTGTTTGGCCCCCTACCACCCACATTCACCTATTGAGAGCACTGCCTCTGAGAGGTGGCCTCAAGCTTGCTGCACACATTTTATGGGAAAGAAGCCCAGAAGATGAGGCCGGCTCCTGTGGGCCCACAGAGCTGAGTGCCTTGAGCCATTCTTATGCAGTCTCTGCATCCCAGCTGCCCAGCAGTTTGTCTGAATGCTCACCATCTTGCAGGTCCTATGTGTGGAGGACGTACCATCTGACCTCAGCGGGAGAGAAGCTCACAGAAGACAGAAAGAGGCTCCGAGAGTAAGTGCACGCCACATCTTGAGCTGCAGGGAGCTATCTGCTCTGTTCACATCTACTTCCCCACACTCTACCAGAGGACTTGGGACTTTGTCCCAGGAAAAAGGGATCTTAAGTCAGTCCTCGGGAATGTGTGAGACGGGCACAGTTCCTGGCTAGACTGACACCCTCTTGCAAGGAGCTGGGGACCTTCCCTGCTAGAACCGGAGACAGAGGAGCAGTGGCAGCACTGCCTCTCCCGGGTGGCAGCAAAGGGCCACAGAACCAGGAGGAGGGAAATAAGAGTGTGCATGGAAGTGAAAGGCTGTCTGCTGGCACAGTGTGGCTCTGGGAGGACAGGCACTGTCACCTCCTCACCCGACTGCACACATGCTCTTGCCGCCTGTTCTGTCTGGGACCCTCACAAGCCTCAGGTGAGGAGTCACAAACATACCCTGCAGCAGATCAGACACTTCATAATTTTCCTTCTCTTTCAGCTATGGTATTCGGAATCGGGATGAGGTGTCCTTCATTAAAAAGCTGAGGCAGAAATGAATCTCCAGGCGTGGACAGTTACACACCAGTGGCTGAGATCTTCCCCAGCAGGAGGAAGCCTTGGGCCACTGTCTCCTTTTCACAGAAGAGTGTTGAGGTGGCCTCACCCCAGCTGCACCCAGCTGGAACAGTCAGTGTGAACCCTGGGCCCAAACATCCTATTAATCACATGGCTGGTTGCACAGAGCTATGGGCCCGGCACCTGTGCACAGAATGAATCTAGGTTCTTAGTTTGAAAAGCCAGAAAGACAGTCCCGGGAGCAGGAGGGATTAGCAGGGCCCCAAGCACTGTGGCCACACCATGCAACCGTGTCACAGCGATCTCTACGGCAAGGAGAAAATAAAAGTAGAGGCCAGCGTTCTGTTTCTGCTTGTGGGGGAAACAAGGGCCTGCATCCGGACCACAACCGTGAACAGGCCTCCACAGGGCTCACCTGTAGGGATGCCTTCAGTGGCTCCTGGAAAACAGAGGCAGCCCGAGGCTGGAATTAGTACTGCTGGCTGGCCAGGGTCAGGTGCTTCTCTGTGTGGGGAAATGTGATAGCACACTCTTACATACTCGTTCCATCATCAGCTATCAGTCACTCCAAGGAAGAGGGAGAGGACCAGGTATGTCCACCTGAATGATGGACTTGACCAGGAGGTGTGTTCGACACGAAGTTCCCTGTTGTGGGGAATTGCGAGTGCAAGGACAGGCACACAGAGGACCTCCTTTGATGGTCCCCAGCAGAAACCAGAAAGGAGGCAGCTGCGGTCAAGTCAGTGGCAGCTAAAACGCTCCCGGTCCATTTATTGGCCACATTATGCGGTCATCAAGAGACTAGTTAGACAGTAATCATGGGAACTAGTGTGATAAATGCCCAGAAGTAGAGAGGTTCAACAGCAGTGAACAAGGCACAAAAGGCCAGTGTCCAGGAACTGGGCAGGACCCCACACAGGGCGTGCAGCTGGGGTCCTGTGGCCTGTGAGGCTTGGGGTGCACAGTCTGCCTGTCCCCGGCAAGCTCAGTGGAGCTGGGCGTCGAGCTCATACTTCTCACAGAACTTGTCAGTGAAAGGGATGCAGGTGAGGAACTCGCACCACTCACAGCGGACGGGATAGAAGTAGAAAAGGACCACCAGGCCGGCCAGAAGGCCCAGGTAGACCACCTGGAAGACAATGATCTGGCAGCGCTTGCGGTACAGATCGAACTTGCCGAAGCTGATGTAAGGCAGGAAGGCGAAGGAGAGGAAGAGGCCGCTGATGAAGCCTGAGATGTGGGCAAAGTTATCAATCCACGGCAGCAGTCCGAAGGTGAAGAGGAAAAGCACCACGGCCAACAGCTTGAAGAAGGCTCGCCAGGGCCGGGCCAGGATCTGCCAGCTCTGGAAGAGCTCCACGAAGAGGCAGGCCAGGATGCCAAACTGCGAGCCGGCCGGGCCCACCTGGCAGGCAGCATGCGTGGCTGTGAGCTGACAGGGCTGAGCAGAACCCCCTAGACCCAGACCCCATCTCCCCACCCTACCTCCTGTGGCCGAGAGCACACCAAGATTGAGTAGCAAGATGGGAGATGCTCCCTTGCTAGACATTAACCCAGTTCATGCCAGGGAGCAGGTGCACACACGAGGATCCCTATGCGGAAAGCAGCCTCACCTCTGCGCGGTATGGCAAGAAGATCGCACTGGCAAGGTTACCGGTGACACCGCTCAACAAGTAGATGATGGCGATGCGGTGCCAGCCAGCCAGTTTCTCCAGGTCCCGCAAGACAGTCATCTGGAAGCAGACGGACACGAGGCAGTGCAGGATCCTGTGGGAGGGGGTGGAATTGAGCAGGGGTCCTCTACCAACCGTGGCCAGGCACTCCTGGGTCCCTGAGACCACCCACCCCCACCGCTCAGCCCACGTGGTGGCACTTGCCCAGCGTGCAAGAAGAGGGACAGCCACAGACGGTAGAACTGGTCAGGCACCTCAGGGTTGAGGAAGGGCAGGAGCCCGCACACATCATCCATGCAGTGCACCTGTGCAGAGTGGCCCGTCAGCACCCACTGTGGCAGGGACAGAGGGGAGGGACACTCACCCTGGAGGCCTACCTGAGAGCAGAGCGTGGCCTCCTCATGGAAGTAGCCCCTCATGAAGTTACAGTACTCGCGTGAGGTTATCTCACACCTGGAAGGTCAGGATGTGCTTGAGTGGACTTGCAGGGGGGACTGCTGGGGCCCAGATGCAGTTTTCACCCACTCGCCCACCTTTGTTAGCCATGGATAAGTCCAGACCGTTTCTCAAGCCACACCCTTTGTTTGGTATGTTGGGTTATCTCAGGACTAGGTTAAGGGCAGTGTTTGGCACCTAGGCCCAAACACACATGTGCATGGGCACACCTACCTGCCCTTCGTGCCGATGCAGCAGGGCCGGCCTGTGATGACACAATCCATGTGGGGGTGGTTGGTGTGGTTCCCAGCACTATTTTTGGTGCAGATCTGGGTCATAGGTGGGGGTGGACCGGGTCAGGGCCTCCCCCAAGCCTGGGCCCTATGCCATGCTGTGGAGTTGTGGCAGAGATGGACAGAATCCTAGAGTAGTAAGTAGGCCTCCCTTGACTTCAAGTGACTACTGCACCCTGAGCCTCAGTTGGTACATCTGTTAAACTGGACTAAGGTCATCTGACATTCCAAGTCTCTACCTTGTCCTGTTCTGACCACATGCCCAGAGGTAGGCAATGGTGGACAGACTAGCTGGGCAAGAGCTAGGGGCGTAACATCTGAAATTATAGGGTGGTCCCATGATGGGTGGGCAAGGTATGGGTTCCTCACCCACACAACAAGGGTGGCTCCCCAACAACCACCACCCCTGCCCCGGCTCACCGGCCACTTGGTGATGTCATCTGGCCACTCATGGGGGTCCTCGGAGGAAGGCTCATCACATACCCTGCATGAGTCCAGTATGTCATCAGACCCTGCCTGTGGCTTGTGGCATTGGTCCAACTTGATGGGGCAGGAGTAGGGAGGCAGCTACTCCTCTCCCCTGAATGCCCAGGGAGACATGGACAAAGGAAGATAGGAGAGGGGCCGGCAGGACTGACCTGGGGTCCTGGTGGCAGACAGAGCCAAATGGTCTCTTGTGGCCGGCAAGGTCTGGGGCGCTGGGATGGAAGGGCCACTTCACCCACACTGCCAGGGTAGACTGTGGAAGGGCACAGTTAGCCACTAAACAGAGCACACCTCTCACCCGTGCAGTCTCCAAAACACAGGAATTAACAGCAAAAGGACTGTGACCCTACCACCCCATCTCAATAAATGTAACTCCAGAAATGTTGCGTATGTATTAGGAGACTCTTACAAGGAGCTCAACAGCATGATTCTATTGGCTTAAAATCAGAAAATGCCTGTGTCCAAAACTAGGCAACTGGTATAAATCCATGCCACTTGGACATAAGATGCAATTTAATTGTTCAGTGGGAAAAATAAGGAATACTGCTTATGTAAACCTGACACACAATAACGTGACATAGACGTGCAGTAAGCACACCCACATCAAAAGACATGGTACAGCAGTCTATGGGCAGAGAGACGGATGCAGAGAGGTTGGGGCAAAAGGAGGGAGGAATGTCATGCCGCCTGGGGCCCTCACAGACAGACGTTGTGACTTGGAGAGAAGCAGGGTAAAGGATAACCAGCTCCGTCCAAAGTCCCAGAATGAGCACAAACTGCAGTGCAGATGAGGCTGAGGGCACGCACCGAGCACTCCTCCTCTGAGGTTTGCACGCAGCCAGACCGGTCATTGCGCACACAGCAGGCTGAGTGCTTCTCACGCTCGCGTGCGGCGCGGATGAAACTGTGCACCTGTGGATCCTGACGCATGCAGGGCGAGAACTTGGCACCCAGGTGAATGAGAGCCTCCTGCGAGTGAACAGGATGTGCAGCTGCAGCCCCCGGCCTGCCCAGTGTCCCCACCAGCCGGCCTGGCCCAGCCCAGCCAGGCCCTGCCCTCACCGAGCTGGGCCCGATCCAGAAGTTCTCCTGCTGCACATACTTGACGTTCTCATAGACCCCGCGGTTACGCAGCACCTGGGAGGTTGGGCAGAGAGGTCAGAGGACCGGGAGGGAGTGCAGAGCTCAGACTCCACGGGCATCAGGGCTCACCGAGTCCACTGTTTCATGCTGCGAGAAGCCCACAGGCGCGATGCCATAGATGCACACGGCTAAAATGGTGACCAGCGAGTGCACAAAGGTGAGCCAGTAGGTGAAGAAGGGCCTGCGGGGTGGAGAGTCAGTGGCGATGGCACCCCCAACCTAGAGTCCCCACATCCAGACTGAAGCCTTGCCTGCCCAAAGCCACATCCCTCCCATGCCTACCTGTGGTCGTCCATGTCCTCAATCTGGCGTTTGACATAGCTGTCGATACGCTTGCGGTAGGTGCGGTTAGTTAGCCGGCCCACCATGCCGAGCCCGTACGGTCGCTTCTCCCTGGCAAAGAACTTGCGCACCGGCATTGCGATGCGCTGCCCCCGCCGCTGCCCTGCCGCGCTCACCACCTCCTGCCGCAGCCGCACCTTGGGCTGCGGGGCCGCCGCACCACCCTCCTTCTGCTTCCTCCAGCCACGTTCCAGGGGCCTGCAGGAAGGGGCACCATCAATGCCCGCCCCAGATGCCCACCTGCTGCAGTCTATGCTGGGTGGGACCATGTCTTGCTCCCATCTACCATTAAAGATACTGTGTGTGTCTTTCAGCATCAGCCTTCTCCTCACCAGCAAAATCAATCCTGAGCCCCTTGGGGGATGCCAGGGAGGTGGGGACACACCGATGGGGTTCCCTTGGACAACCACAAGTATTAATACATCACCCGCCCATCCCCACTGGATTCTGTCCAGCCTCTGGGATCTGGGACTGTGATCCAGTTCCACGGATGGGCAGCCGAGACATGAATGATGCCGTGCCATGGGTCCCCCAAGCCATAAAATAATGGCCAAGCTGGTCCACAAGGCAACTCCTAGCCTCGGCCGTCTGGGGTGTCAGTCCATGGGCCAGCTGCTCCTGACAGCCACAGGTCCTCCCCCGGGCCTCGCCACTGGCTGGGGTCACTCACAGCATCAGGTGGCTGCGCTCGAGCTCGCTGCGATCGAGTGCCCCGCCTGTCAGGTCCGCCTGCTCAGCGGCTTTCTCCCAGTCTTTGAGTGCCGCCTCCGACGGGGACTCGAACACCTCATCCGGGTAGGTGGACAGCTCCTCATGGAGGACACCTTCCTGAGCAAATACACGTGGTCAGAGTGGGACTCGGAGGCAGAGGGGCCACGGGTGAAGACACTGGGCTCTACCCCAGTTCTTACCCCCGGCAGGGCTTACCCGGGCAAAGAAGGATGTGTCCAGCTCGTCAGGGAAGTCAGCCGTGTCCTCTTCCAGGAAGCTGGCGGGAGTAAAGCTTCGGCGCTGCAGCCGGCGCAATGTGCCATCCCTAACCGAGCGGCCCTGCCGGCGAGGAGGTGAGCACGAGGCACAGCGGCCACCTCAGCCCCAGGCCCACCCCAGGCCCGGGGACTCCACAGCCCCACACCCACCTTCACCAGCGCGGCTGCTGCCCGGAAGCTCATCTTGGCCACAGACTCACGCTTGCGTCGCCGCGGTAGCCGGCTAAAACCCGAGCGGGAGCTGGAGAAGGAGCAGAGGGAGGCAGCACCCGGCGTGACGGGCGTGTGTGGGGTGCTCAGGCCATCAGCAGCATCATCTGCCACGCGGAAGGCCCGGCCCCGGGCCAGGGGGTCTATGATCTGGCAGAGGGGAGGAGATGCAGGAGTTGGGGGCTGGGTCATCGCCAAGCCACCCCTTCCTCACCCCAGACTCCACTGCGGAGAACACAGCCACTGCGCATCCCACTCCCCAGCACATTCTCTGCACACACTACATTGCCCAAGAGGGGGCCCTCTTCCCACCTCTAGTACCTTGACACAGCTCTTCACCCTGGGAGGCCATCCAGAGGCTGCCCCTTGGTGTAATCCCAGGGCCTGGGCCCCTCCCCCAGGCCCCTATTCCAAGAAAGTGTCTTAGGTGCCTTTATGGGTCCATGTGACAACCCTTCCAGACCATGAGCTCCGAGGATCCCCCTCTGCTCAGGCTGGCTGTGTCCCCATCCCCAGCCCAGGGGAGCAGAGAGGAGCCTGTGGGAGGCAGTGGACAGGCATACCTTCTGCATGCCCAGCTGGCATGGCCCCACGTACAGGGGAGGGGGCGTCTCAGTGCTCGTCAGCGACACGTTGTCCTGGCTAGGCAGATCTAACTCCCGGATGACCTGGGGCTTCAGCTTCCCATAGCGCTGGCTGCAGTGACGGATGCTCTTGCGCTGCCACTTCTGGGTGCTCTCACTGTCCTTGCTCACTCCAAACCAGTCAGCCGTGCCTCTGCCATAAGAGGGACTCAGCAAGAGAAAGCCAGACCTCCCCCATCTCCAGCAGGGGCCTCAGAGGCCCCCCTCCTGGGCAGCATGCCCCACCCCTGGCCTCCAGTCACTCCAGGATCTGGGGCCCAAGTGGGCTCGGTCTGATTAAGGTGACTGGGTTCCAGCCCTGGCTACCCCCTCAACAATTAACCAGCTCCAAATTCCCACTACAAATGTAGATGGCAGGCCATGCCCATGGTGAGCATTTTATACAGGCCCTCACCTCAACCCAGAAAGGAGGGTTTGTGTGGAGACACTGAGTCCTGAGATGGAGCTCGGAGGTCAGCCCTCAACTCGGCCAGAGAGAGCTTGGCCCGGGGCATCAGCTCGACCTTGAACACCACAGAACTCAGGCAGTGGGCACTGCAAGCCGAAGCAGGCTGCCCACAGCCCTTGGACATGCAAGCAAAAACATGGCCAGTTCCTGCCATCAGGAGCCCCAGGGAAAGCCAAATGCGCGCAGCTCCTGAGAAGCCGTGAGCCATGCACAAGCCGGCTGACGTCAACACACTCATGCCCTGCCAAGGTACCTGAGCAGGGACCGAGAGAGAGACCAGCGCTGCGGGAGGGCCCTGCGGGCAGCAGGATGACCCAAAAGGGGCAGAGTGTGGACACGCCCAAAGCGCACCTGCCGGCTGTTCAGGGGCCAGAGCATTGGAGTAGGGGAGACAGAGAAAGAGAAAGCAAGTGCTCGGGTGGTTGCCGAGAAGAGTGATAGGTGAGACAGACTGATCCCCAGAGCAGGAGGACGGCAGGATGACATGGGCAACAAGATTGAGGAGAAATCCCTTGACCCATTCCCGGGCCCACCTGAATGCCTACCTCTGCCCCACCACCCCCCAGACCACGACCCAAGGAGCAGCCAGGGCAGTGCAGTACCTGCGGATGGTCTGAGTGATGGAGGTCTGGCGCTGCAGCACCGGCCGCCGCGGCTCATGGTGGGGCGAGGGCATGCGGGCCGCCTCAGCGGGCATACTCACGCTTCGCAAGAAAGCCTGCCGTCTCAGGGGCTGGGCAACGGGGTCACGGTGAGGGGGCTGGATGGGGTGTACCCACAGCCCCTGCTGGCCGGGGCCTACCTGCAGGAAGCTGGGCTCCTCTGACACTGGAGCCGCCACAGCTGGGATGTCCAGCTTCAGCCAGGGCGGCTTCTTGCGTTGCAGGCTGCTTGTGCTGTCCCTGCGGGCCTCACTCATGGTTCCAGATGGAGCAAGGCAGGCCTGAAGGTGTGGTGCATGATTTAGTAACAATGCAGGAGAAGAGAGAAGCGGCAATAACCCAACAGGGGGTCACGGAAGTCCTACTGTGTGCTAGGCACTGACACACTCAGTCGTGACATGCTAGGCACGTACCAGGTCCTCAGACTACGTAAATTCCTGCCACAAATATTCAAGCACCTACTGTGAGCCATTCCTAGGTGCTTGGGACGCACTGGTAGAGAAAACAGGAGAGCCAAACAGATGAAATCCCTGCCCTCCTGAAGCTTACAGTATACACAAACAAGAGATGAGTCAACAACAAACCTGTTAATGTCAAGTGGGACATGGAAAACAGAGCACAGTACAGTTGACAGTACAGTGATGCCTCCCTGTGAGGTGACACCTGAGCACGGGCTGGAAGGAGGTGATGGAGTGAACAAGGCTGGGGTGAGGGGTGTAGCTGTTCCTCACAGAACGGCCAGGCACAAGGACAGAGGCAGCCTGACGAGCTGGTCTGTCTGACCTAGACCTCACCCTCCTAACCACTATGCCATCTTCTCCAGAGACAGACAGTCCACTGCACCAAGGACCAGGGTTCAGTTTGCTACATTTCAGAGAGGGCACGTAGCTCTGTGGCGTGGACATCCAGAAAGACACCTTGGCGCAGACACCATCATGACCACCAGGGGTCGCAAGGCGCCCAGAAACGACAGGAAAGCATCTCGGCACTGAGAGGGCCCCTTGCCCAGCACCACCCTGAGCATCTAGGACCTTGGCACAGGGGAAGGCCCCCGGACCCAGAGAAGAGAGGCCAAGGTTTGATTGGGGCCACCACTGGCTACTCATGTGACCATGGCCTCCTTGACATTCTACTTCCATCATTACAAAACCACTTTCAGAGCAGATCTGTTTCCCCTTCCCCAAAGTGTTTTCCACAGAGGTGTCTAGAAACAGGAGAAAAGACTGGGATGGTTTCCTGAGTGGGCGACATCGATAGCAGGGGAGTGGCCTATAAATACTCAGGGCAGAGACCCCAAAATTCCTTGATTTCCTCAAAGAGTTTCGTCCCCAGCAGACTCTGAAATGCAGAGTCTGTAAACCAACCTAATACGGCTAGAAACAGCTTCCAGTTTTGAGCCTCCCTCTCAACTGACCGGAGGAGATGCAGGGAAAGTCCCACCCATACTTTATAGACAGGGATAGAGAGCAGAGGCTGGCCTTCCCTACTGTCATATATTCACAGTAGCGTAACTACAGACAGGCCTAGGATGCTGCCTACAGTTCCTGCTGGACTTACACTGACCAGCAAAGGGCCAGGATTCTGATCAGAGCAACTCCTGGCTCTATATTGACCTGGGAAAGTCCAAGGATGTCGCTCACACTCCTGCACAGGCCAGGAAGGGCCCAGGATGCTGAACCCAGTGGGAGGAAGTCCTTCAGGGATTCTCCTCTTAGCTCACACCTAATCCCTCGCATCCTCAACCTCTTCCCTGACACAACTGTGCACCCAGGGGTCTTTCCATCCACACAGCCCCCTCAGGACCAAACCCCTCTCCCCTGCCCTCATCTGAACTTATCTGGGGCCAAGGGCTGAGGGTAGCATTTATTCCCACACCACCTCCTGCGCCCATGCTAAGTCAACAATGTGGGTCAGATGGAAAGTTCCCTAGAGGGGGATGGAGCCAGGATCTGACTAAGGACTGGGTCCCTCTGGGTTCTAAGCAAGAAGATCATCTCTCAGCACCCAACTCATGCCACAATTGTGGCCCAGACCTGTATGTCCCCTGAAACATCAGCAACAGGTCACAGGTCTGCATCCTCAGAGGGTGGAGTCTTCGTCATCATCCACCAGGTCTCACCTCCTCACCTCACAGGTCTCATAGCTTTTGAGATCTCCCTGCTGACAGGAAATCACTGGGAAGGGCCTACTGGTGGAATCTCAGAGAGTTATCAGGCATGTAGAGAGGACAGATGGGATGGGTCTCTCAAAGGGGCTTCTGGAACCCGCACTGCTGTGACAGCATCCTGAGTGCACCCCCCACCCATGGTCAGGGCAGGCCTGCCAGGTGAGGACCCAGGCGACCTGACCCCCCCAAGGTTGTGCTCTGCCCCATGGGTCCCTGTGGATGAGTAGCCAGACAGATGGGAACCCACTCAGCACTCAGATGGGGGAAGTTATGCTGCCTTCACTCCATCCCAACCACCCAATGACCACTTGCCTCATGGTGTCTCAGGGTCTCGCCTGGAAAAATGGGCCAAGAGTGGCATGTGGGGTCACCAGTGGTAATCCATAGGCTGGGTGCTGCAGGACCAGCATCTCCAGAAGCCTCCCGATGTATGCCCAGCCCCTCTGGTGACATTAGCTAGCCCTACACTAAGAAGTACAAGGAACCTTTGCCAGCTGACTCACACCCCCACACACATCTGTGACCCTCCGTGGCTCCCACTGTCCCCGACAGCCTCTCCTTACAGCTGGCTCCCTTGCATCTCAGGACGCCTGCCGCACCCTGCCCTGCACATGCATTCTGCCAACCACCCACATGTTCCAGGACCCACAGCCTCAGTCAGGCTGCCCCACCCCTGACAGGCACTCCCGGCCTTGGATTCCCCTGGCATGGTTTAGCTCACCCTGCCCTCTCCACCAGGTCTGCAGGGCCCAGGATCGGCCTGCTCCAGAGCCACTGCTCAGTGAACAGTGAACACTGGTCATCTCCGAGTTGAGGCTAGCAGGAGCTGATCCCCATGATCTGGGGTGAGGGGACCCTACAGTTGGGTCTGGGAGGAGGAGCTGACCACATGACTGGGTACACACAGAAACAGCACAAGCTAAGACGTGGGAAGAGTGGTGAGCTCCCCAGCCCCTGATACCCTGGACCCACGGTCAGCCGGCAACACGCGAGCCGCTCAGCTCATGAGGGAGGCACCAGCTCTCTGCCTGTATGCCCAGACCTCCTAGGGTCCCTCACCTCCAGCCAAATCCATCTCCTGCTTGGGACAGAGGCAGGGGAATGCTTTGACACTTAAATGGCTCCAGGACACCTCACACCCCCACCCCGCCCTACCCCCATGTGCATAGTTCCCCATCTGGGCCTCAAGTGAATGGGATTGACAAGGAGGGGGCCACAGTGGGCCCCAGGGGTGTAGGGGACGGGGAGAGGCATGGCCCGGGCCAGACAAAGACTCTGGGCCAGGGAGGGGCATTCGCCCAGAGGAGACAGTGGCTCAGTGTCCAGGCCTCCCCCAGGCACACAGTGGGCTCTTGTTCCCAGACAGCCCCTGTCGGGGGAACCCCTGCACATCCCTACTCTGCTGACCCCTCAGTGCAGGCAGAAACCGCAGGCCAGGGAAGGCCTGACTGCCCAGGGTCACACAATGTCTGAGTCATTCTGGCATTTGCGGCTGCCCACCCAGGGCCCCAAACACATCAGGAGACACCTAGAACTGCAGTGGGATGTGCTGACAGAGCTTGGGTTAACTGAGGCGACGGGGGTGGTGGCGGGGGGGGCACATGCGGAGCTCCAACAGCTCAGGGTGAGTGTGGGGCAGGATTGGAGCTGAGGCTGAGGAAGGAGGGCCCCACAGGGCCACGGGGCCACTAGGGCGACTCTAAGTGGAGCGACAGAGTTGGGAGCAGCTGCAGCCATCAGGCAGAGGGATGGGTAGGGAATGGGGACGTCCCACTGACTCAGATTCCCACTCTGGGATGACTGTGGACCCTTCGGGCTGGCAGTGTGCATGGGTGCGGGAGGGGCCTGTGTGTTGAGGCTAGTCAGGAGAACTGGCCTGAGACAACAGACACACGCCCTGCTCATCTCCACCACCTACAGCCCTGAGCAAGCCTCGTTTTCCCCATCTGAAAACCAGGGGCCACAGCAAAGCCTGGCACACAGCAGGCGCTCAAGAAGTGGCAGCTGAATCAAAAACAAAAGGACTGCGGTACCTGCTGGCTCTGGGGAGGGCAGCCAAAGAAAGGGCAGGGGAGGGGGGACAGGCCCACAGGGCAGCATGTGCAGCCAGAGTGAGAGCCACAGGGGCGTCAGGGACAAGACCCTTCAGAGATGCTGAGTTTGGGAAAATGTGGCCAAGAGGCAGGAGACTGGGGACAGTGGCCACGGCTGGCGTGAAGCTGGATCCTCAGGTGCGAGAACAGTCACACTGAACTCAGGCCTGCCCTAAAAACTTGCAGGATGCTGGCAAAGGCAGCTGGAAGCCGAGTGGACCGCCTGGCCACGGCACCAGACCCACCAAAGCCAGGCCCTGCCCTGCCCTGCCCTGCCAAGGGAACCGCCCACTGCCGAGGTCAGCTGGAGCATGGACCCCACCCCAGGACACCTACTCAGACGTGTCCCCAGCTCACCTGAGCATGGTGCTAGGGAACCAGCTCCTCCGGCCTCCCCACTAAAGCCCAGATATCTGACATTCAGCCTTCTGTTTGACCTCTATTATGCTCAGCCTCTAATATGATCTTCCTTGGGAAGGCAGGGCCACCTGTCTGGAAGCCTGGAATCCAGTCCTTCTTCACCACATGCTACCGTGTGGCAGTGAAAGTCACCTGGCCTCTCTGTGCCTCACTGGTAAGCGGCATCATGCTAGGGACGATACCAGCCAGTCCTTCACCCTTCCTCAACCCTCCCAGCAACCCTCCAGGTTCCCGTAGAAGAAAGGAGGTTAGAGGAGGGCAGAGCAGTCCTGACACCCGGCTGACAGCCTGCACGGTGCCCTCTGCCTTTCCCTGCCTCAAGTCACCCATCACCTGCCACCACCACCAGTGAACATGCTGAGGGCCAATAAGAGAACACTAGTCCCTGATGATAATTACCCACTTGCTTCCTGACCCAGGAGGGTGGCATGGAAAAGAGCACTGGCCCTGGAGGGGCAC